TATATATATATATAAACTAAAATTAGAAATATTTATATGTAAAAATTTATATTATTTTTATTTTCTTTTATTTTTTAAAAATTGTTCATATTTATTTAAAAAAAAAAAAGGAGCGGGGGCGAGGGCGGGACGGGGAAACCCGAACCCCGTCGAGGGTAAGGATTGAGACCTAGATTTTATCCCCGGCGAGTATCGGGGGCAGAGGCGGGGACGGTTTAAATTTAAGGGAGTGAGGGCGGGAAACGTAAAACTCGTCCCCACCTCGCCCCGTTGTCATGCCTAAAACTCACTTAATATTATAATTTCATAATATCTATTATATAGTAAGAGTAAAAATATTTTTATAAGAAAATTTATTTTCTTTTTCTCTATATTTTTATTTAACTACATTAATGAAGAAAAATTATTATTTTTTCTTTCTACTTCTTTCCTATTATATTTTTGGATCCAAATACCTCAAATTCTTAATTTTTTTACTCAGTCTTTCTTATCTCTTTCTTGTTTCTGTCGTACTTTTTTTTTTATGTTATAGTTCTCTTTATCCAAACTAGAGCCAATGTATCTGGATAGCAAGGATAAATAAAAAAAAGGGGGAAATGGAAATTTTTGCAATAATTTAAGTATGGGGTAATGTGGAAGCAAAAATAGAAGGGTACTGTGAGTACGGAAATAACATAAGACAATGCATGCATAGCAGATGTTGAAAAAGGAAGGTCAGATTGGGAATAGCAATAGCAATAGGACATTTTCACAACTCATCATGTGCCGGACAATGCCATGTGACCTACCTCACTAATAATAGAACCACCCATCCCTACTTCTTCCCTCCACATTAATTCAACATTTTAAATCAAATACTAACCATTTCTTAAATATAAAAAAAGTATCTTGTTAATACCCTACACTTCTTTTAACAAAAGTTAGAAAATTAACATACCATCCCTACTTCCCTCCACATTAACTCAACATTTTAAGTCAAATACTAACCACTTCTTTAAAAAGACTATCTTGTTAATATACTTCTTTTAGCAAAAACTACAAAATTAATATATTGATGTGTGAGGTTGATTTAATTTATTTAAAGATTTTGAATCTAAATATACAATCACGATAAATATTAAAAAAAATTTGTCATTTATAATAATTTGATATTAGCATTTTTGTTAGGTAATCAAGTTTTATTTTTTTTATTTATCAACATTGCACAACAATATTAAAATTCAAACCTATATCTTTTTACTTGCTATTCTAAGCTTTTTATCATTAAGTGAATCCTAGTGTTTCAGTTTTACTTAGTTTGAGTACAATTATTTCTATTTACTATTAAAAAAAGAAAGTAATGAAATTATTAGTGTAAGAGTTTTAATTAGAAATCAATTTTAGTAATAATTTAATTTCTCGTGAGTCTAGAAGAGTTTTAACATTAACATTTAATATAATTTATAATATCATAATAATAAAGTAATAAAGTTTGGAAAAACTTTTTATGGACGTCAAATCAGGGGAAAGTTTTGGTACTACTGTTACCAATTTTGGATCATGAGTTAGAAAAAGAAATAAAGATAAAGTACCAGTTAAATAGTGTCAGATTCTTGGCTTATTGTAAAAGAAACAAAAGCAAGCACAGATGAAATGAAACTTTTCCAATCTGTTTCCAACCACACCCATGTTCTGATTTCCTTGTTTGTTTATTCCCGAAGAGCCCATTTTGGGTGACATCTCTGATTTTTTAGTGTTTGTCCTCTGGATTCCTTATCACAACATAGCAAAGTTGTTGTCTTTTTTGTCATTCATAGTGCATTGCACTCCTTGCTTTGGCCCGTGCTCCTTCAGCTTCAGATCTGTGAATTGCTGTTTGTGTTTGTTGGAGATTGGTTCTGTTCAGAAAAAGCTGGAGGTGGGTTTTCCTTTTCAACTCTTTCTAGTGTGGAAAAAGGACACTTATATGCCCCAGAAGATTGCTTTACCTAGTTTGCTCTAAAGGCTTCAACTTTCATCAATTTGGTTTCCTTGTTCAAGATCTTGGATAATACGAGGTTGTTTCTGTGATTGGGCAGTGTTGCCTTTCTGGGTCAATATTGTTTTCTTTCCCTTTGTTTGATTTGTTTTGTTTTTGCTCCCCCTTTCCAAATTTTGCTTCTTTTTGTTGAAAGATATCTCAAAGGTCTTGTTTGGGGGAACTGTTATAATGGGGAGTTTCCTTGGGGAGGGACTCTTAGTTGTTCTGATTCTGGTGACAGTGAGCACTGTAGAGGCTCAACCAAAGTCTATTCTCTTGAATTGTGGTTCAAATTCTTCTGTGAATGTGGATGGTAGGAAATGGGTGGGGGACATGGCCACTGATAACAATGTTACACTAAGCTCCTCCCCTGGTGTTGTTGCTTCCACATCTACATTGAGTGGCAATTCAATCTATGATCCTCTCTATAAAACAGCCAGAATTTTCAGTTCTCCTTTGAATTACACAATCAAAGGTGTTCAGGGAAACTACTTTGTTAGGTTCCATTTCTTCCCCTTTGTGACTGAGGACTACAATGTGAATGAGTCCTCATTTGGTGTTGTGGTCAATGGTCTGAAGCTGTTGTCTGAGTTTGATGTTCCTGGTAAGATATCCCACAAGAACATGAACTTGCAGAATTCCGGAAAGAATGCTAGTTCATTCTTCTTGGTCAAAGAGTACATTCTGGCTGTGAATGGTGATATGCTTCTGATTGAGTTTGCTCCAACCAGAAGCTCCTTTGGCTTCATCAATGCCATTGAGATTGTCCCAGTTAAGGGTGAGCTTTTTGTTGACTCGGTTAGTAGAGTTGGTGGAAGTGGTGGAAGCTTGAATTTGAGTGGACGTGCAGTGGAGACTATGTATAGGTTGAATGTTGGTGGTCCTGAGATTCAATCCAGTCAGGATCATGATCTTTGGAGGACATGGGAAATGGACTCTAGCTACATGATCACAGAAAATGCAGGGTCTGGAATTAAGAACAGTTCCAACATTACATATGCTTCAACAAATGACACTTCAGTGGCTCCTCTCCTTGTGTATGAAACCGCAAGGGCAATGTCCAACACTGAAGTCTTGGACAAAAGGTTCAACATGTCATGGAAATTTGAAGTGGATCCTGACTTTGATTACTTGATCCGTTTGCATTTCTGTGAGCTGGTTTATGACAAGGCCAATGAGAGGATATTCAGGATTTACATAAACAACAGAACAGCCGCAAATAATGTTGACATTTTTGTGCGTGCTGGAGGGATGAATAAAGCATATCACCAAGACTATTTTGATCCTGTGTCATCAAGGATCGACACGGTTTGGGTTCAACTCGGTCCCGACACAGCTGGTGGGGCTGCAGGAACGGATGCTCTCTTGAATGGTCTAGAGATCTTTAAGCTCAGCAGAAATGGGAATCTTGCCTATGTGGAGAGGTATGACTTGGGAGAAAATTCAGGAAGCAAATCAAAAGTAAGAGCTGTTTGGGTTGGAATTGGAGCAGGTGCAGCTTCTGTGGCTGTAGTTACACTGATAGTTGCTCTTGTTTTCTGTTTCTGCAAAAGAAGGAGCAAAGAATCAAGTGATGCCAAGAACAACCCTCAGGGTTGGAGACCATTGTTCCTCTATGGGGGTGTGAACAGCACTTTGGGGGGCAAGGGGTCTGCAGGAACTCAAAAGCTTTATGGATCTGTGGCCTCAACCAGAGCTGGCAAGAGGTTTACATTAGCAGAAATCAATGCTGCAACTAACAACTTTGATGAGAGTTTGGTGATTGGAGTTGGTGGCTTTGGTAAGGTGTACAAAGGGGAGGTTGATGATGGTGTTCCGGCTGCAATTAAGCGTGCTAACCCTCAATCTGAGCAAGGCCTAGCTGAATTTGAGACAGAAATTGAGATGCTGTCCAAACTTAGACACAGGCATCTGGTGTCCTTAATTGGCTTCTGTGAAGAGAAGAATGAAATGATCTTGGTTTATGAGTACATGGCAAATGGAACTCTTAGAAGCCACCTATTTGGTAGTGATCTTCCTCCATTGTCTTGGAAGCAACGCCTAGAAGTGTGCATTGGTGCTGCAAGGGGACTTCACTACCTTCACACAGGCGCCGAACGTGGAATCATTCATAGGGATGTCAAGACAACCAACATACTCTTGGATGAGAACTTTGTAGCCAAAATGGCTGATTTTGGCTTGTCAAAAGATGGTCCAGCTTTTGAGCACACTCATGTTAGCACAGCTGTGAAAGGAAGTTTTGGCTATCTAGACCCTGAGTACTTCAGAAGGCAGCAATTGACTGAGAAATCAGATGTTTACTCCTTTGGAGTTGTGTTGTTTGAAGCTGTGTGTGCTAGAGCTGTCATAAACCCTACCTTGCCTAAGGATCAGATCAACCTTGCAGAATGGGCCATGAGATGGCAAAGACAAAGATCACTTGAAACAATTATTGACCCTCGTCTTAGAGGAAACTATTGTCCTGAATCTTTGGCTAAGTTTGGAGAGATAGCAGAAAAATGTCTTGCTGATGATGGAAAGAGCAGGCCCACCATGGGGGAGGTTTTGTGGCACTTGGAGTATGTCTTGCAACTACATGAAGCATGGCTCAAAATGGACACCACAGAAACTTCAAAAGATGGAGGAGTAGAAATGGTGCATGAGCCTTCAAGTCAAGATGAAGAAGTTGATATTGATCACAAACACACAGGTGAATCTGATTGAGTCCACAACAAGAGAATGAGTCAAGGAAATGAATGATGCAATTTGAGTTCAGTGATTTCTGAATGCTAGTGTGTCACAACATTGAAGAACCATGAATGAATGAATGACCTTATAGCTAATATATGCTTTACATATTCTTTCTATTTGTTTTATAGAATTCAACTATTCAAGTTTATTGTTATTATTTCTCATCTGATTTTTGTATACATGGTAGTGCAACGGGCAAGTGATTTTCAACATTTTGTCTAAAACAATTGTCAAAATTTGTGATATGCTCTGCTTTTGTATTGAGTATGCAATTATATTGTATTCATCTTGCTTCTTGAAAGTTTGATAGAATGTTATCACTGGTCAATGCTGAAAATTCTGTATTTCAGTCGGTCTTTGAAATTAGCATGCGGAATTTTTTGCCTGGATTAGTTTAGTGCACGCTTCAAAGGTTTTATTTTCAAACATTAAACAGTTAAATAATTACATCTGATTTTATTTTATGAGTGGCATTAAAAATATAAGAATATATTGTGATATTTATAACAAATGTTTGGATGTTGTTAATATAAGAGGCATTATGGCATATTTGAAAAATTGAAAATATTTCCTTTAAATTTGTAAACAAAGCACTCTGAAATTAAAATGTTTACTTTAATGGCATTACGATTACAGTTATATGACATTGGCTGAATGTTTCCAAAATTTAATTTTAGGTAATATTGTTTTTGAAAAATTGGTTTTAATCAAAATTGAATTTAAACTAAAAAGAGTTAGTTGAAAAAAAATAATTTAAAAACAGTTTTACTGAAAAGTTAATATAAGATTTTCAGTGTAATTTAAAAGTTGTATTTTGTTTTCTGCTTTTAATCAAACGTGTTTTTAAGGAGATAATCACATTTGATTGAAAGTGTACGAATATAGCATCAGATAAACATTTTTTTTTTAATTTTAAAAGTTCATAATAAAAAAAGTAAAACATAAGTTAAAATAGTATGATATTGATAACAAAATTTCATTTTCTCATTTTACATATTACTAAGTCAATACGATACTCAATCCTTATATATTATATACAAATGATTATATTGAATGAAAATATTTTTAGGATTATTTTTTTAAGAATTTTTACGGATTTTTTAAACTTTTTATTTGATTTCAATTTTTTATTTATCATATTTATTTATGAATCAAGTCTTAATATAATTAAAGTAAATTATAAATAATAAAAATAAATTTGTATTACAATATAAATTATTTATTTTAATCTAAATAATAATTTATAAGTTTAATTATTTTATTTATACAAATTTTAAATATAATTTATATATTTTAATATTGTATTTATTTATGTATATCATTTAATTGTATAAAATAGTAATAAATAATATCAAATTGATACTAACTATCGTATTTTATAATTAGTATGTACAAAATTTTGTAACGGTTATAAATGTATAAGTAAATAATGTTATCTTCGGTTGAGATATGAATATTACACTTTCTTCGTCTCTTTTGTTAAAATATATAATTTTGTCTATTTAACTAAACGCTATTAAAATAAATTACATTTCTCTCTTAAGAAGAGATACAAATATTACATTATTTTTTATTTATATGTTAAAATATAAATTAAATTATACTTTTATCCCTTAGAAATATGAGTATTGTGTCATCACTCTTCTATTATAATCAAAAATATAATTTAGAATATTTAACCTAACTTTCTGAAAAATTACCTGTTATAAAATTTTAAAATATATTTTTACTAAAATATATGTTAATATATTTTTTAGTTCATTGTCATTTATTCAGTTGATAAAAAGTTATAAAACATATAATTAATTTTAAAGTAATTTAGTAAAATAATAAATAAAATAAAATTTATAAAATAAATTATATGTACACTTTTATATATATACATGTCAATTATATTTATATATTATTAGTTTTTGTAATAACTATATTTTATTTAATAATAAATTTATAATATAAATATATTATCAGAAAATATCAGTTTATTTGGATACTTTAAAAATTGTATTAATAAATTAAACAATATCTTAAAACCTATATA